GTTGCTATTATACAGCCTTCCTGCTTTGTAGCAACCTCTCTGCCTGAGCTCAATTTTGTGGCTGGGCTGGCAATGGAGTTCCTGGACTTATGGTACTAGGGAATTTCAACCTGCCATCCCTAGGTATGGGGTCAGAAATAGCTAAGGAGTTTATGGCCACCATGGCAACCGTGGGGCTGACCAAATTATCCAGGACCCAATTCATAGTGGTAATGCATCCAATCTGGTTGTTTCTGTCAGATTTGGGGAAGGGGGAATTTTGATTTCTCTCCTGCCATGGACAGATCACTCCCTGGTGAGCCTCAAGTTCTTGGATGCCAGTCCCCTCTGCAGGGAGAACAGGCCTTTTAAATCAGTCCACCCCAGGTGACTAATGGACCCAACTGGGTTTGAGAAAGAGCTTGGGGTTATTCCAGAAAATCAGCTACTCAGACTGACTGAAGTCTTGTGACTACGAAATAGCAAAGTGACAACAGTTTTTGATCAGATTGCCCCTGAGCGGCCTCTCCACACTCAGAGTTTCTGATGCTACCCAAAGTATATGATGGAACTGAAGGAACTTAAACAGGCTAAGAGACGCATTGAGCCCCCCATTCAAAGCTTTGAATAGCCCCAACCCTGTTAGTCTTTCAAAAACCTTTTAAAACCTAGTTATATACACAAACCTGGAGTGCTGAATGTGTCATAGACCCCATTTCCTGGCTTTACTGCTAACTGGCCAAGTATCTCAGTTGCTATGTATATTTATTCTGGATGTTTTTTTGTTGTTTTAAAATGTTTTAGTGCTTTAATAGAATTACATTTTTTTGAATGGTAAGTTGCTCATAGTCATTTACTGAAATGGGTGACTAAGAAATTGAATTAATAAACAAACAAACTTAAAGACCAGAAATCCTATATTCCCTTGATATGCACCATCCTCTCTGATTTATCATTTCTTTATTTTTAATCAAATGGGAAATCAGCATCTATGACATAAAATAATCAGCAACAGGGACAACTTCCCTCACTCCTCAGCAAAAAAAATCTCTCAAGTCATAGCATGTTTATAAATGAAAATTGTCTGTGTGGGAGGGGGAGGATTTCAATGTAATGCTTATTTCATAAATGTGTCACAGAAATGTTTCCCAGAAATGGGGAAAAGGAAGAGAAGCCTGAGGTGCTGGAAGAGGTGATAGGAATAAAAAGGTGGAAATTTTATGACTGGCCAAACTCACCATAGCATTGTATGATGAGACAACATGTTCTCTTAATATGGCCAACAGCCCAACCAATCATTCCATTCTATCATTCTCCCTTCCTCATCTGGGGCAACCATTTCTAGCCATGAAAAACTTGGGTAAAACAAAACACCAGTTGCAAATCCTACATCTTAATCTTTACTAAACTAGAATTTGCCAGATTGCTGAGTTTTCTCTGCAGTATGGCCTATTACATCAATATCATTTAGTCAGCACACCATGCTGACACAGAATTTTGAGAGTTACAATTATAACACATCTAGAGGGTATCAGGATGGGGTGGCTAATTTAGGATAAAATTTTAACCCAATGGGAGTTTTTCCTGACTGCTTTCCTGATTTCTACCAAAAATTCCAATCTGACATATAGGGAAAGAAAAACTGAATGACTAAATTAAACCAAATCCCTGTTTCTAATGGAGCCACTATTTATGTAAGGCAGGCAGCGGGGTCTCTAAAGCAAAAGACAAATCTATAGTGAAATGATGAATTATAAAAGCTAAGTATCCCTGGAAGAAGACAGGAAAAGGGAAATAGAAACAAAGATTTCCTAAAAAGCCTTGTGTTGATTTATTTTTCTAATTTTGAACACCTTGGAAGTAGCAAAACCGCTACTAGCATGGAAGTATTATTGTCAATAAATCTAAACTATTATGTGCAAATATCGGAATGAAGCCATTAAGATTAACACACACAACATAATGAAACACATGAAGGGTCCACATGAAATAAAACAGACAGCTAATTCCGGACAAGTGTGACCACTGATCTTTGAATAATTAAGACCCCTAGTCAATCTAACAAACTAATATATTTTCCATGTATAAAAAGTCATAAAGCCTGTAAGTGTAAGTTAAACGTTTTGGTGAATCAGTTGAAAAGTCCTGTAAGTTTTAGGTAACTATATTAAGCCACTGATTATAATAATGCCAAAGAATAATGTTTTTCAGATTTCAACTACTTTTTCTGCATTTTTTTTAAAAAAGCATTCTCAATAAATGAGAAGTTGTAACATGAAACAGCACTGTATCACAATTTTACAAGTTTTGGACTTGTAAATACTATAACAATCAGAATAAGTATAATATAATAATTTAAGTCTTTCTGATTATAAAAAGCTGACCCAGAAAAGGCATTCAGGAATTTGGGAACAATTCTGAATTTATTTTTTGATTCCTAAAATAAATGTAAAGCTTTATTTATATGTTCATTTTTTTTCAGGTGTCCCCAGTAATACACTATTTTATCTTTTTTAACACTTTAATATATAAAATCTATATTTAATATATTAAGCATTTTAATGTCTTTGAGGAAAATGGGCAGTTCAGAAATGTGAAATATATATAAATAAATAAAGCATAGTAGATTATATACAACAGATATAAGACATTAGATGCAATGTACATAGGTAAAGGAACTTTATTTTATATGCATGTATTTACATATTTTCATGTATTATAGACTAACACCATAAGTATTTTTATTTGATATCCTTTCTCAGTTCTACTTCTTATTGTTTAATATTGTTCAAACCATCATCAAAATTGTTGCCAAGTATAGACAATATTGGTATAGGTATATAGTGCTTAGAATGCAGTATTGACTTTTCTTGGTCTATAAACTGACAAAATTGCAGAGAAGATAAGCACTCCATTTTTAGACTATGCTTATATGTGGTTTTAATTAACAACTGAGATCTACAAAAAGGCGCATTTAGAATGGAAGCAATCAGGATAGTTAAACAACTGGTAAAACAAATAAATCATAGTATGTATTACCAGAAGGGAAAAATAAAACCTTTTAGCGTACACAAATATTATGTTGTTTTATGTTAATATTTCACATGGAACATTCATTTTTGTTCAAAGGCCTACTGCCTGTTCCATAAAAGACAAACGCTAATATAAGACGTTTGTAGGATTTCATATAGAGTGAATTGCTAAACAGATCAGCATGTTTTCACTAACAATTTACCTCAATTCAGTGATGTTTTCTTTTCATGCATAAGATTCTATACCCAAATTAATATACAAACTTGTTTGTAGATAAAAATATCTGGAAATCTTTGAATTGACATTCTATTCAGTCCAATTTTCCTTAGTAAACGTATTAAAAATGTATTTTCTACTAAATATATTTAGGAAATCTGTCAAATCATATTGTCTTTTAGAAAAACAGGACAGAAGAATCCAAAACAGAAATGCAGATACCTCAGATCATCTTTAGTAGATTTATGGGGGGGGGGAATGCGACCCTCTTCATACACTGGGTACATAAAAATAGAGAAATCTCTTTGATACTCAAGAACTCTGTGTGCTTGGAAACTATCCAACTAAAGCGCTATGAATTTATATGGAATATACATAAATGATCATTTCTTCTTAGTGCAAGATCAAAATATATATTTTCATCAATAATCACATATTTTGAGATGTAAATTTATTCTGATATTAACTTCTTGATATTAATGTGTTTAAAATAGTTTTAAAAATGAATCAGGCGATCAGCTATTACCCACGTTTGTTAGTCCCTTTTCAAAAGCAAAGTAGTAAAACATTAATCTGCATATTTATTCTGTTTTTGTTATGTTTTACTTAACATATAAGAATAAATATCTTCATATGATGAACCAACTTATATATTAAAATTACTATAACCAGAAATAAGGTTGCTGTCTTATTGTCTTGAGTGATCTATATAAGAACATATGAATGCACATGTATTGTATTTCATTTGAGGAATAATGTAGTATTATTTCATTCTCACTTTGAACCATCTCTTATCATCAACTTCTACTGAATTCTGTTTTAAAAATGAACAAAATGTAGTAGGGAAAAAGTTATTTTTCAGAACCATATTGCAGAAGACCAAAAGAAAGTAAAATGCTATTTTGGGATGTCTATATAACATGAATTGTAGAATACATCCTATTATAAGCATCCACAAGGAAAAAAAAACTTCATGAGATCAAAGTCCAAGTGTAACTGCCACTTAATTTATCTGCCTTTACAGACAAAAGACAGTTTTCGTCATTTTCAAAGGATCCAATGTCTTTTATGATAAACAGGATTTGCAGTTTAATTTACAAATAGAATTATAAGTATGGCATCGTTGCTCTGCCAAAGCAAATGACAAACAGAGTAGGGAGTTTTCAATTCATGCCATCCTCAGCAGGATGGAAGAGATTAAAATAAAACTGAAATAATTTAAACAAAACAAATAAATGTTTCAGAGAGTTGAAGGAGATCAAAGTATGCATTTTCTGACCCCACTCTACAAGCATTTCTTATTATATTGACCAATGTCATCAGATCATTAATTAAAAGGAGAAGTGCTGGCAGGTGGCAGGAACCAGAAGCCGATAATTGGCCCCCTTCTTCTTTTTGCCTTCAAAAACTCCTTTTTTCCCCTTGCAATATATGCCACTAGGCAGACAGAAATGCCTACTTTGTAATATAATGATTAAGATGAGATGAAGAGACTCTTGCGTTTAAAGCTGCTATGCCTAATGAATGCAGCAAGCTTTATAATTATGATCTCCCCTTTTCCTTCACAATAAGAAATATGACGTTCCACTCAACATTTCCTCAACTGTCAAAAGCAAGTAAACAAACAAACAAACATAACAAGACACCATTAAATAGGAAATCTATAGCTGATAACGTAATGTTTGGTGGGGGAATGTATTCTTTTTTTTTTTTTAACTTAGCAAGGAAATATAAGTAATTCAAACAAAGAAGGTAAAACCAACTAAACTTACCACTTCACTTGGTAGATTGCTCAGGTCATTAAATGGTGTTTCCAATGTATTTGTGTCAACATTTAGCATCACCACATCCTCCAGTGATTTACTTTTGACTCTCTGAATAAGGAAAAATATCCACGTAAGCATTTGAGGCTTCTCTTTCTGATTTTCATTAAAAAGTTATCATATTCTCAACATACAAATCTAAATGGTAAACGAACAAGCAAACAAACTAGGGATGAAGCAATCTAGGTCACAAAGAAATAAGCCAATATTTCCATGGCAGCATTGTGTATCAAGAAATTTCCTTACATAATGCATCATTACCATAATTAATTAAATTTAGAGTATTAGAAATAATACCCATGAAGACTATTTGTCGCAATGCCTGAATAGGATCTCTTTGTTCAAGAGTCTTCTGTCACTGTATAAAACATTTATCCAATATTTGCCTAGCCACTGTGAGAAATAAGATGCTAGAACAAGTGGACATTTGATCTGGTTCAGTAGGGAACTCCTTACAACGTTCCTTTTTTCTTTTTTCTTTTGACCAATGCAAGGATAGACTGACATAGGCTTACAGACATAGCAGACATAGGCTTACAGACTTAAATAACAGTAAGAAATAGATGACATATTACTGTATATTCTCACATGATTGTATATGTTTAATATATATAGTATGCATGTCCCCATTTGATACCAGGGGTGTAATTCCATGATACTGTTGGACAGGCTTTCCAGAATTGTTCACTCTTTTAAATTTAACCCGTATGATTCTAGATCAAGCAAATCAGTAGAGAAATCTTTCTAGTGCCAGTTTTGAGCAACATCTATGCTGGATGAAATAGCCCATCAGATAGGTTACTTTTCTTATAATAGTTTCGGGCCATTTCCTTTCCTTTATTAGTTCTCATTCAGTCTGAACTTCTCAAATAATTGCAGGCATATTTGAAGCAGGCATGTGATCCTGCCTGGTTGCTCCCTAATCCATAACTTTATTCCCTTCCATACAGAAGTCTAGCTATCATTAAATGACACATTGTCAGAATAGCTTGGGAGAATGTTCAGCATTCCATTTTGATGCTGATATATTTAGGACTGCTTCAAGGGCTCACATGAAATGAACTGGTCTCCTCCACTAATGAAGATGGGAAGTTCTCCAATTCTGTTTCTGAACTATGGAGAATCTCATATAAAACAGAGGAATCTAAGGTTAACAAACTTGCTTTTTTCCCCTCCTATCCTTCCAATTACCCATAAGTTTCATTTTTAAAAAATATTGAAGCCTTTTCAGGAATAGTATGAGAGATCCGGTTAGGCCAGGGGTCGGCAACCTAAAAAGGTGAAAGAGCCACTTGGACCTGTTTCCCTCACAAAAAAACCTCCAGGAGCCGCAAAATGTGCGCATGCGCACTCATGTAATGGAGCTTGATTGAAGAGTCGAGCCTAAGGCGACACATGCACCGGCCCTGCCCGCGTCCAGCTCTGGTATGGACGGCTCTGCCGTCCTAGATTCTCCTCCCCTCGGAAAAGACTGCTCTCTCCCCTTTGCTGAAGTGGCGAGCAGGGGGCTTGCCTTGGGCATGGCAAGGCTCCTGGAGGCTGAGGCCCTCAAAGGCGTGGATCAGGCTTTCTTCCATAGCGGTGGGAAGGCGACCGCGGGAGCAACAGCCTGCTCATCCCCCCTGGCGGAGACGGCAGCAATTGGGGCCGCACCAAAGGAGCCAGCTGAAAGTGGTGCCTTGGACTATCCCTCCGAGGAGGGTGCTTTGGAGGAAGGCCGGAGCGCGGCACTCTTGCCAGAGAACTAGTCAGCCCCACTAACTAACATGTGAACCCCACGCTAAGAACGGCCCTGCTTAAACTGAGCTCAATCAGACAGGAAAGTTCCAATCTGATGGAGGCTCCTGCAAAGTCAGCTCGGTCATTGGAATCACGCAGTTCAGTGGGCTTCGCCCCCCCAAGCTATTAATTCAGAACCAGGCATTGCTTGGCTTGCAATCGGTTACACAAAACAGGTGGATAGGATTGCAGCCAATGATAGTAGGACGTTAGAGCCACCAACTCTGGTCTCCACCCAGGCGGGCGGGCAGGCAGGAGAAACCCTGAAACCTCCTTTGCAAAGAGAAGATGCCGGTGGTGCATGATCCGGGGGGGGGAGAGACAGCTCCGGAGAGAAGCAGCCATGCAGACAGAAGCCGGCGGTCCCAGCAAAGCGGCATGGGAGACCTACTGGTTGGTGTGAGAGGCTCCAGCGTTGCTGGTGAGCAAGGCCTAGTGTCCGCAGCCCAGTTCCGCACCCCGACGACCAGCTGGACCGGCTTTCACTTCTTCTTTGCAAACGAATGCAAAACGTTTCGGGGTTTTGCTCGCTGCTTAGTTAGTGCTGCCCAGCTTCTGCCTGCTTGCCTGCCTGCTTGCAGGCCTCCGTGCTCCTTCCCCGAAGCATGCAATTTCTCAGAGCCCGTTCCCTGGCAGGAGTTTGCAAGGCTTGTTGGCAAGCCGAGAAAATCGAAGATCCGGAGCATTCCCTCCTGCTGCGGAGCTGCAGTGCCTGGCCCTGGGCTGACGGGGGGGGTATCCGGGGCCTAAAAAGTCCTCCAGGACTGGCTCGGGGCCGGCCCTCTTTCCCTGGCTGCAGGAGAAGGGAAGGCGCAGGCTTTCCACCCAGGCGGGCAGGCGAGAAAAACCACGAAAGCAGAAGGGAATCCTCCGGACCTTCGGTTTTCTCGGCTTGCCAATGAGGCTTGCAAACTCGGCTCCTGCCAGGGAAGCTCTTTCCCCGAAGCATGCAATTGCTCAGAGCCCATCCCAAAAGGTGCTGCTTCCCTGGCAGGAGCCGAGTTTGCAAGCTTCATTGGCAAGTCGGGAAAACCGAAGATCCGGAGGATTCCCTCCTGCTTTCGGGGGTTTTTTCACCTGCCCGCCTGGGTGGAGAGCCTGTGCCCCCCCCTTCTCCTGCAGCTGGGGAAAGAGGGCCGGCCCCGAGCCTGTCCTGGAGGACTTTTTAAGCCCTGGATACCCCCCACCCCTTTTCCCGTCAGCCCAGGGCCAGGCACTGCAGCTCCGCATCAGGAGGGAACCCTCCAGACCTTTGGTTTTCCCGGCTTGCCAACGAGGCTTGCAAACTCGGCTCCTGCCAGGGAAGTTCCTTCCCTGAAGCATACAATTGCTCAGAGCCCGTCCCAAAAGGTGCTGCTTCCCTGGCAGGAGCTGAGTTTGCAAGCCGAGAAAACCGAAGGTCCGGAGGGTTCCCTCTTGCTTTCAGGTTTTTTTCTCACCTGCCCACCCGGGTGGAGAGCCTGCGCCTCACCTTCTCCTGCGGCCAGGGAAAAAGGGCCGGCTCGAGCCTGTCTTGGAGGACTTTTTAGGCTCTGGATACCCCCCACCTCCTCCCCTGGTTGTCGGAGTGCGGAACCGCCAAGCCTTACTCACCGGCAACGCTGAAGCTTCCCACGCCGATCGGTAGGTCTTCCGTGCCGCTCCGCTCGGACCGCCGGCTTCTTGCTACAGGGTTGTCTCCCTCCGGAGCTGTCTTCCCCCCCTCCCATGGCAAACAGCATCCCAGAAACCAAATAAGTTGAACCAATCAATTCAAACTTCTTTCATGAGAAGTTTGAATTGATTGGTTCAACTTTTTTAGTCCTATTTTTTTGGGGCACTGCACGTGGCTGGGAGCCACAGGAGACGGCTGAAAGAGCCGCATGCGCCTCCGGAGCCGCAGGTTGCCGACCCGTGATAGCTTTTAAAATGCTTACACATTTTAACATATAGCCATGGAGAAAGAGAAAATTACTTACCTCCATTAAACTGAAATGAACTCCAATTAAATAAGGCATTGGTGCACTGAAATTAAAATAAAAAAAGAAATACATCATATACTAGAAAGATATAGAACTGACCTTTTATGCGAGTAAGCATGTTTGCCAGCTCCAAATATTAAAACGCCCAAAAACTTGCAAGCTGGAAAATTCTGATTCAAAATCTAGCTATCATTACAGCTATAAAGTAAGGAATAACACAAGACTATCTTGCAGAGCTGTTGCAAACCTTCAACACCTCTTACTTTTTCAAAGTGTGAACTTTACCAAATGGAAACGGCAGTCCTCTCCCAATATATTTTTCTTATGCATGCAATTTTATATGGTCACTGATCCATCTTTCTCAGTGAGTCTCAGTATATATTCAGAGGACACCACCTGGATCATCCCCATCTACTAGTTACTATTTTGTACCTCCTACATCTATGCAATTTAATTATTTGCTTAATAAAATGTTGCTAATTGCACTGGATGAAGAAATCTCAGGGTGGAAATAAAACCAACAAACAAATGAATATAAAAGCACTTATTAGCACTTGATATATAAACCAAGATAGATAAAACAGATAAGTAAAGGAATAAAACGCTACCAACAGACTTGGATAAATCGTCAGGCCTCCATGTGATATTAAAAGAAAACAAATGCATGCCTCTCAGCCAGAGTTTTAAGAGAAAAGAGTTTCATAAGCCAAATAGAAAACTCTTGTCTCACATTTGCATTTCTTCCAATAAAGGGAAGGTGGAGGAAAATCCCTCTCATCAAATTTTTATATTTAATATTTAGGCAGGTGATACAACAGAGGCTGTCCTTTAAATATCAAGGTCCCCAGCTGTTTTAAAGCTACCATGAATACCTTGAACTCAGATTAGAAGTGACTTCAGTTCCTGTAAAACTGTAATAAATTGGTCAGTTTGGGCTACCTAGCAAAATGGGAAAAATGAAAGGCCTTCACTTGATCTTCCTAAAAGATACAAAGCTTCTATTATTTTATATCTACGACTACATATAAGAAGCCTAAGATAATCTGGCATTTTTGTAATGTGACCCCTCCCCAAACCTGAGCAGTTGTTACAGAGGAAGGGGCAAAAACAAACACACGAAAGGAGTAAGTGAGAAATATAGAATATTACAATTAACTGTTAAACAGTTTTGATCTGCAATTGTCCATTACTGTTTCCATGTATAACTTTATATTATTATAGTCATACAGTGAAATTGTACTGAAATCTAGCTGTATGCAATCTGTATCTTCAAACTCAAAATGTTGGGGTTTTATTTACTTTACCTAAATTGCTCTACTATATGAATAATATATTCTTGAACAGCAGTCGATTACACTAAAATAGCAAAGTGACCATGAAAATCTTATTCAGGAATTCTATTGTGTAAGAATTATGTCTTCTACTACTATATACCCTTATGCAAAGAAAAAAATGTTCTCATAGGGAAGGGAAGGGAGGGGAGGAGAGGAGAGGAGAGGAAAGGATAAGGATTAAAAAAGGATTAGACTTGATCAATACACAGCAGGGAAAAAGATGAAGTCTTGATGTATATTAAATGAGTAAGATTGACTAAAAATTCAACTGTGATTTAAAAAATATAACAACTGTATATTTGTAGATTTAGTACATAGTATTCTTTTACTTGTACATGTTGTGGTTTTTAGAAAAACACAGCATTATATCACTTTCAGTTTCAGCTTTCTTTCAGTATCTAACATTTTGGCCAGAGTTTTATCAAATTTGGTTCTATTTCTCTGTTTAGTTCTATTTATTCATTATTTCCCCAATGGGATGGAAATGCAGCCAGTGCCAAATACTCAGGTAATTCAGCCAATAGCCACAATAACTATGTATACTTAAACTTTGTGGTTTTTTTCTCTTTTAGTTACAGTATCTAATAAAAATTTTCAATAGCCCTTAAAACTTTTGCCCTTGTGGAAAATATATATATATATTTTGCATGCCTATATTTATGCACAATATAGGATAGTCAAAGAAAATGATCTGAAATAAGTTGGAAGCATTCCCACGATGTTCTTAAAATGTTCGTCTGGTTTTTTTTAAAAAAAAATCATATACAGCTTGCCCTGAATTTTTCCAAAGAGGTGCCCATTTTGATAGTATTGATTATCTGTCATGGCATAGTCTTTTCTCCTCAGATGCACATGGCCAGTAAAATACAAGGGTCATAAGAGGGACTCAACAAGGGAATGATTTGCAACATAGAGAATGTGTATTGGGACCAATTTATGTCCCTCATTCATGACATGCATCATAGACACAGATGACCTAACACCAAATTCACCTGAGAAACAATGATATAGTATCATAAACCAGCATGGGGTTCTTGGTTAAAGCAGATAAAGCCAGACTAACTAATTGCTATTAAGCTTTCCCACAAATATGACAATAAAATGTTCCTTCATACTTCCCTAATACACATTTTTATAATAAATGAAACAGAGATATATACAACCTAAATGTAATCTTATGACCGCCAAAGTGATATTATGCTACATACTCTATTATTCAAAATGGTACCAAACATATTAAGCAGGCTGAATCAATAGTATTTTTCCTCATCTAATGATATTTCCCATCTTGTGAATTGGAACTACAAAGTTAAAATTAGAGATTTTATTCTGAACAGAATGACCAGCCCATAAAGCACTTACATTTGAACCCCTTTATTTTTGTGGCCCTCAGAGCTTTGGAAATTATACTTCCAGATTTCACTCTCACAAACAAACAAACAAACAAACAAACAAAATCCCACAATCCCAATCAATAAAAAGCATTGAGTTTTTTCAATAAAAAAATCAATTCACCCTAAATAAATGCTTCCAAAATCTTAATCCACATCAGCTTTTGTATAACACAACACTGCCATCCCTGGTGTCAACGCTGTAAACATTGGATGTTCCCACTCTAACAACTGATGAAAATTGCAGCCATTTCCACTTTGCTTTTAACATGCTTTTTCTTCTTTTTAGAAATCAGGTGCAGAAGGGGGGTTGGGATGAATGCTTGAGTTCAGCTAGCCATAATAATAACACTGCTCTATGGGAACTCAAGGACGAACTGATAATGGTTTTGCAGGCTAAGGAGCAGGGGAAAACGCCCATGTTTCAGGCTAATTGGAAAACATGATTTAGGACTGCTTATTGGCGGTGGGAATTGCAATTTGTTACTTTGTATCTGGGGGAAGGGAATTTAGTTTTGGGTTCAACTATATAGTGCCGATACTTTGTTTCCTGAATAAAATGTTCTTTAAGGAAGAATTCTTGCCTTGAAGTTCTTTTGATGGGTTTCATCTATCGGAACCATGACACCTGGCCTTCAAACAAGCAAAACAATAACAAAGATAATTCAGCTTCCCAATGGCAAAGGTTTGCCATTAAGTACAGAACCAGTTTTGCAGTTTATAGCTTATATATTAGTCAGCTCTATGGTTTTGAATTGTGACACCAGTATAAAATGAAGAATAATATAAAAAGTTGTAGACTTATAATTACAGTCGTGAATTTGGACTGGAGGTTCCTAGTTATGATACTTTTTTCTAGATAAATCAGCCTCCTTTTTCATACATGTATAAACTGTAGTAGCAATATATAATGTATGACAAAGAATAGACAAAAGATATACAAATGATTCTGCACTTTGTACTACTTTACAATTATTACAAATGTTAGTAGTAGTTATATACACTGATACCAAATTAGGGTAAGAATAATGAGATTTTTTGGTTCTTGGGAAGCATACCAATTTACAATAGAAAAGATGCCAGAAGTTCTTTTCTGAAACCCACCGAGCCAAACTGCATTCATGAAATTGTCCCACCCAAGAATGGAAATATGATTTCTGCACATCCCTCCTTTTAATTGTAGCCTCCTAAGAGGCTGAGGAAGGTAGTTGAAGACTCTTCCAAATCCACAAGTCATAGAACAGGGAGTGGCAGAGAAAAATTAGCTCTGCACCCTAAAATCACATCTTTCTCTTTGCCTATAGCCGAACTCTTATTAGAATTCTTCTGTTTGCAAAGCAAACACTCCAATTAAATACAGTTCTTGAACCAATAAATATTTTATATGAAGTAAAACAAATTGGTATTAGTTATTTATGTAACCTTTGGAATAACCATCTTCAGTGTCCTGCCTTGATAAGTCAATTTATGGGCAGTTTAAATACGGTAAAATTAGATTCCTATAATCTTAAAATACGTTTGGTACTACTTCAACAAAAATTGTTTCATGTATATTGGCTATTTCAGGGAATGTTTACTAAATGATGAGTACCAAATATATTGCTATTGGGGATGCTACTCAGAAATTGGAACATTAATCTATACAGTCCGGTTTTACTTTATTATCAACATATTTGAGGATCATATCAATAGGATTGTCACTATGACTTGTATTAACTGCTTTGCATTAAGGATGTACTTCTTGGTAATATACACAGTATTTCAAATCTATTACCGTAGATTCTCAAGAAATCTGAATTTTCTGGCCTATGTTCCAGAATTAACATTTAACACTGAAGTACAAATCTATATCCCATTTACAACAATGCATTATTGATACATATTGTCTGCCACTATAGACTTTTGAAGTAGTTGTGTTGATATATTAATTTGGTGAGCATTTTTTCATTCAATTGTAATTAAAATTTTAAGTTATATTACTCCATTAACTCTCTTGAATGTGCATATATTTTTAGTAACATAGCATTTATTCAAAACCACTGGGTACTATTTGAAGTATGTCCAAAGTACAATGACGTATTATCTTGCATTAAAATCAAAATGCAATTTTTTTTATTTAAAAACAATGCTTGACATGAATCAGTTTTTTCTTCATATTTTATAGAAAAGTAATACTGGGGAAAGCTTGGCATAAACAGTTTCTGATTAGTAATTTATATAATTAAAGAACGTGTCAGGCACTTAAAAGGAGAAAAAATAATGACAATTAAGACACATGCATGTTCTTCTTCTGGGAATCACTTATCAACTTATGAAATATATATATTTAATCCAGTCCATAATTGGTTATCTTACATAAAGCATGAACTAGAAAAATATTATGGTTTTTATTGTGAAAAATGTTCTACAATAAAAACAGGGAGAATTTCATAACGAATCATTATGTAGCTTTAAGTAAAATTCTGTAATCTTTTAAGAATGTTAATAGAATTCTTAAAATAGATGCTTCATTGTGAAACACATAGTGTTATAGGTAAGAAACTATACCAAGAAGTTATTAGTATTGTTGTTTCTTGTTTAAAAATTAAGCAAATCCAAAATCTTTCAGATGTTTTTGTACTTTTGGTACCAAAATAAATCTTAAATCTCCAGTCAGCAACTAAGCAGAACCTTCAACACATGACACAACTTGATAAATTGCTTTAATCCAGATAAACAAGAGAAATCAAGCTGTCTATAAATCTAGGGTTTAAATTCTAGGCTTTTCCACAAGGCCACAAACATTTTCAAGTCAACAGACTTTTGGTCATTCTTTTTCTGGCCCTGAAAGTTAGACACATCTACTCAGTATTTACATAAAATTTTCTCTGCTCTGAGGATCACTAGTTTCTCCTTATTATACTTATAAAATAAAGCTATATGATTGGATACTGGTTCTGTCAAAAAAACATTTCAGCTTTTATTTATTTATTTATAAGACTTATATACCACTTTAAGTGCAAGCACTCTCTAAGCGGTGTACACCAGTAAGCAATGTATATATATATTTACATTGCCCCCAACAATCTGGGTCCTCATTTTACCTACCCCGGAAGGATGGAAGGCTGAGTCAACCTTGAGCCGGTGAGATTTGAACCGCTGACCTGCTGAACACAGTCAGCTAAAGTGGCCTGCAGTACTGCACTCTAACTGCTGCGCCACCTTAAAACCTTAAAATTTTACTGTGTATACTTTTGCACCAGAATATTTATATGCTGCCAGTACATTGGATATAGCAATGAATGAAATTATTTCATCCTGAAAGGGGGATGCTCCTTCTTTCAACTATGTTATTTTGAAGTTCTCTTTCTGCTCTTTGATTTCAATTATTTTTAAGCCTGTTAAATCATTGCTTTCTTGACTGGAACAAGTATATTAACTTATAAGAAATCTAGATAAACTATGGTTATGAAGATGTTGTAGAATCTTGGCAGCATTTGAGCTATTTAAATTATAGATCTATTTTGTGCTTGCACGGTAACATATTAAAAGATGTGAAAGAAGCTGTGAAATACCATATGTAGCACACACAAAATATCTATATTAGTAATGATTAGCAATGTTAAATTAGTAATGATTAGCAATTGGGGAGTTCTACTCTGGAGGTGGCTCCTAGATCCACTTCTCCTCCCACTGTCTGTTCCCCATTCATCCCTCTTTTTTTACCAGTCATATTGATGTATTTTCTTTGTTTTCTTTTTGTTTATTTTCTTTGTTTTCACTTTGTTTAAAGTTTCCTTTTATTTCTTCATTTTTTATTGTTATAAACTGCCTAGAGTAGCCCCATGGCGAGGCAGGTGGCAAATAAATTTAATAATAATAAATATTAGTAATTATGAAATTTAATGAATCTGTACAAGACCTTTTAATTATTTCCTCTCAACAGAAAAACATTCTGAGCCACAATGGTATCTCTACATCCATTTGGAACATATAAAAAAGAAAGATAATACTAAATTTTGGATTTTGTCTCATGTCTGTAATTCATCAACTTTTAAAACCTAGTGTTGTAAAAATAAGCCATGTAAGTCATATAAGTCATGTTTCATATCTTAGTCCTGCAGAAGTACAGTTTCAGATATTTTTATCTGTATAAAGCAGTGCCAAATATGGCATGGTCTTAGTTAGAGTCTATACTACTACAACTGGATTTAATGTTCAAATGATCCTATTTATTTAATTAAAAGGCAACAACATTTTGTCTTGTTTAATTATTAGAAAGATAAAGAATAATACATATTTAGCCTCTTACCAGCAATAGTCCAGGAGATGTGGTGGGAGCACCGGGATGTATATATGCTGCCAGTACATTGGATATAGCAATGCAGCTGATCCATGAACACAAGCAGTTAACTAGAATTCAAAGCAAACACAGCAAAAGTGTAATGTTATAAGAGAGAAAAGAAATAAAACATTGTATTAATCATGTCAGGAACAATAAACCAAAAATTATGTATATACCATATTCAGATTGAATTTTGTATTCAATGTTGTACTCTGAATTTCTATGTACAACAGAAAGGTTGTATTCTGTCAGCCACATAATGAAATATCACTAATAATCATAGTCTCATAAAGAGATGTAGAAATACTTATCTTCTACTGTAAAAGAAGCCAATTCAATCTACAAATGTTTCTTTATATATTGATTCATATGCAGAATGTTGTCCCCCAGAGGGACAAAACATATTATATATTCTCTCTTTATTGTAACATGAACCCAGAACATAAGAAAATAAATTGTACTAAAAAATCTTCCATGCTAAGGGATTAGATTCATAGCAGAACTTTGGGTTTTTGTATATCATTTTGTTTGATAAGTTTATAAACTTCAATTTTACACACATAAAGAATGAGATAGAGATAGAAATATGGGAGATTGGAACAAGATTAGTTGCTGAGTTATCAAAATAAAGCTTCCAAAAGGCTTACTGATTTTCAGAAGTACAACTGGTATTGTATGAACATTACAAATACTGTACCTATAATAGATTTAAGCAGAAAAAAGCCAACTCAAACCCTTTCTCTCTATGTTGCAGTATTGGAAATACAAATAAAAGACAGTAATAAAAGACAGTTACATTCTTCCTAGTTATCTCACACAAAGTTAAACATGAAGAACTGTTTTGCACATGTACATTCCAGGATTTTCTTTCAACCAACTATCTTGAACTAGGTCAGTAATCCATCTAGACAGAGTTTGCCAAAAGTATCACTACAAGACGTAATATTACTGTTATTGTTAAAGTTGTGTTCTGAAAGATATGTAAAAGAAATGAAAAGTACATCAAGCATTTTCCACTGCATGGAATCTCTTGACACAAATGCATCTTTTCCCCTCCTACATACTGGTAACTGATTTGGCAGCAAGAAATTATGTGGCAGGTGAAAGGTTTCTTCTTGTTGTTAAAAAAAATCAAACAGTCCAAATATTTTATGTATACTAGTCTACTAGAGAGCAGCTTCCATTTTTATCATAGAGCACTTTTTGTCACACAGCACAGTGCCAGGCGATTCAAATTAAATGAATACAAAACAAACAAACAAACAAGTCTGGACTTGCTAGGATTTTACCATACTAATAAAAATTCCTAGGATTGTGAATCCCCTCAGGATTTCTGCAATAGAAAATATCTCTGGCCTCATCAAGGAACACCTCAAATGGATTTGCGAGTTTATTCTTCACACAGTAACAGTTTATGCTATCAACATCATTCCTTAAAGTACAATTGAAATAAATGGCTAAGGATACATCTCTCTTTACACAGAATTAGGGTTTATACCATATAAACACATCTTTTCCTCCTTGACAAATCCTTTTCTTTATATAGCAAAGAAGCAGCACTTTACCAGCAAATAAACCAGGTTATTTTAACTTACTTTGTATCAGTCAGGCCAGCAGACATTTAAAATGGAAGGGCAGAAATATGACAATTCTATGTGATAATGACAGTGTAATTGTGGCTTTCCCACTGTTTCAGTCAGTCAATCAACTAAAATTTAGAATCACTGACACAAATATGCTTATGGAACTTTAAGGATAATATAGAGTTACACAGAACCACATGATGTAAGTGTTAATACATAATACTATGGAAAAAGCTAAAAACTAAAATCAACACAGAAAAAGGTAAAATTATTATATCATATTGAGCATTGATATTTCAGCTATATCCACTAAAATGGGGCACATCTGCAGCATAATGGATGCACATAAAATAAAATCCACATACATCTAATAATAATAAGTTATAAAACAACAGTGTTAGGACTAAAACCTTCCACAAACCACAAAGCACCACTCTCCTCAAAAGGTTCCAACTCATCAGATGATTTACGCATATTCATTCCTGTCTTATCCATAGTGGCCTTCAACCCTTCCCAGATAGCACTATAACCACCCCAAGATTGCATACCCCACTCCCATCTTAAAGAAACAATGGTCTTTTTAATAGAAGGAAGACAGAAGGGGCCCTCTGAGATCTATCTTGTTTGGTTTGAGGCCAGAATAACCTGAGATAACAATACCAGCTGCAGTGTTTGCTATGCAGGGAAGGTATGGCAGAAGTGGCCCAGGTACAGAGAACAAACACTATGCCAAGGACAATGTCCTAGAGAGAAAATGCTATTAAGACAAGCAAATGGGACCAAGCTGGCACTACTTTAAAACCTTCCCTGAATAAAATGCTAAATAGGAGTCTTACTTTTATTTAATGAGGGGGTTAAGTCTCTACTAACAATTGTCCCAGGAGCCCCAGTCTGTTTTACAATTCACAAAGGGTACAAGGAATACATCTTGCACATAATACCCAGCACTTCTTAAGTGTTAGCCTAGCTCATATTATTAAGAGAGCTATTTGAACTATGAGGGAGATTAACAACAATGTGTTTCTGAGGGCAAACCGACTGCAAAGAAAGCCAGATGCAGTCAGCAGATGAATTTCACATGAAACAGATCCTAATTCTCAGAAGGCACTGTATGGTCACAATAGCCAGAATATAATCTACTGCTCTGCTTTGTCTTTGTAAATCTCTGCTTATCAACTATGTATTTCCTGATGCCATAATAATGTACACTGAGAATTCTGCATGATGATCTTTTATAGCAAACATGCCAGAGGACAAAGATATAAAAGCACCAGAATGTAACTTTTCTTATCACTTAGTGGATCACACAAAAGAAAGCACCTGTACACTTTACTATACAAACTAGGGCCATATTAATGAACAAAAGAGCCATTTATTTATTTATTTATTTATTTATGAGACTTATATACCGCTTTTAAGTGCAAGCACTCTCTAAGCGGTGTACACCAGTAAGCAATGTATATATATATTTACATTGCCCCCAACAATCTGGGTCCTCATTTTACCTACCCCGGAAGGATGGAAGGCTGAGTCAACCTTGAACCGGTGAGATTTGAACCGCTGACCTGCTGAACACAGTCAGCTAAAGTGGCCTGCAGTACTGCACTCTAACTGCTGCGCCACCTCGGCTCTTTGTCAATTCCGTCTATGTAACTTAAGTGTCTGATATTCTGCAAGTTGCACAAAAAACAACTAAGCACCACATTTTCTGCCTCATGCATTGGCAACTCACAATTCAGTTGCTGAAGATCCCCTAGGTAGCCTATCATAGGCCTGTCAAGAACATGACTGAAAAAGAAAAAAATAGCATAGGGTTCTACAATGTTCCTCCTGAGTATGATGTGCACAGTAATATCAATAGATAGTTCAGAAGAGAAAGAGTGTGCATGTAGACATATGCATGCTCACATACACATATATATTAGACCTTTATGAAGTAGTACCATTTTGCAGAGCTCCTCAATGCCAATTGATGGGTTGAGCTGATTCTATGTGATGTCTTGACGCTGAAAAGCAAGGTACGTAACTATGATGTCTGAAGGTAGACCACTCCGACTGGCTAATATATTTCAGTAGAAATATCTTTTGCAAAGCTATGTGGCCTTTGAAGGTCTCCCATAGTTTGGTCTATGTTAAGGCACCAGACTAGAAATTGGGGGACTGTGAGTTCAGTCCTGCCTTAGGTATGAAAGCCAGCTGGGTAACTTTGGACAAGCCTCAGCCCAACTCATCTCACAGGATTGTTATCGTAGGGAAAATAAGAGGATGGTGGATTATTAGGCATGTTTATGACAGCTGCAGTATCCATGCGTTAAGTGATCACCCTATACAACCTTCCCAGTTGTCTTCTAACAAGCAAAGTCAATGGGAAAGCTGGTAGGAGGTTGCAAATCATGGTCACTTGGTGTCTCACTTAAAAAGATTGTAAAATTAGATGTGGCTATGTGATGCCTCACTTAATTACCACCTCACTTAACAACAAATTTTCCTGTATTAATTGTGGTTATAATTGAGGACTAATCTATAAAGTTGGGGTAAATATAAATAAATAAGCAATGTTTTTAACATGTTTCCTATAGAGACCCGGAGGTGAAGAGGGGGCGAAATGTGCCCTCATATCTTTCCATATTGTGCAGATAAAAGGCAAATAGAATGTAAGTCAACAATTTAAAATTAAATACACATACTTACATCGATACACACAATGAACCCATGTAAAGCCTTACAAGAATGCTTCACTTAAAATTTCAAAGATTTCAAAGCATCCTTTTTAATATGGTTCCATTTGTAGGCACTGTATTGGTGCTGCCAATGTATACCACATCAGCCACTTTACTGGCTTCCAATGTTCTTCTAAGTTTGCAGAAATAAAGTAAAGCAACCAGCAATTCCAAATTGTGAGGTTGAAGGCTTTGCTTTTTTCATGTAGAGAAGGTGAATTTCCTGGAAGTGAATCACCCCACCAAGCAAAGTTACTGTTATTTACTAATATATCATAATAATATGACTGTCCATCTCATGAAAATGTGACTTTGGATGGGATAAAACAGTTAAGGAAGTAACACTCCTTTACATAGCTATAAGATTACCAAGTGCTACGGCTGAGGCATGGTAGCCCAGATGTATAAAGCAAAGGAATAAGCAAGGAATAAGAAATAAGCAAATCAAGTTCTAGATTTATAAGATGATGTTATAAAATGAAATATCATGGGTAAAAATTATATCTTGCTGTCTTCAGCAAAGAGCAGTGCCATTTCCAAAAAGGAGTGGGACACTGGCCACCTGAACTGGGGGTAGCCAAGAAAGCTCAAATGCTTCTGTCAGCTATTTCTACCTCATGTTTTAAGAGGCTTTTATTTCTTAAATATGAATGCAATCAACAAACCAAAGATGTTTCAGAGAATTCAGCTTTCACTTTAGAATTCTTCAACCATTTGTGTTATGAATTTTCAGCCTAAATTAGGAGCAGAGAAAATGCTTTAAAA